TTTTGGCAGTCAATTCATAGTTAGTTTTGCTTCAGCTATGAATAAACACTGTAACCATTTACTATCTAAATTAAAGTGAGTTTAATGGTCGTTTTCTCTTAGAATCATCATTATATGCAACCATATTCGCAGTATGGTGTTGTTAAGCTATCGATTGAAATCATGACTCGATGAATATTAGCCTATCATTGGAAACGTAGACCACTGGACCATTATCTTACATACATCGATTCTGATATCTTTGAACAACTTATCAATCCCCACAACCCTACCTTGATGATTATTATGTGCTCACTGTTAACTAGCTCGTTCTGGGTATTCTCGAAATTCTTGTGAGCAACTGCGACCAGTCGAGATATTCCTTTCAGGCAGAGACAGGTATCCACCTCAGACATTGATGCGTGGTTGCACATCTTCGCGGATTTGTTGAAATTAGACACCGACACAATTGAATGCCAAAATAGGTGGTCTAGAGGTTAAGCATTGGCGCGCCAGACCAAAGATCCTGTGTTTGAATCCCGCGTGCGGGATTGTTAATGTGCACTGCCGAGAAGTCTCTCACTAAGACGAAACAGTTGTTCAGTGCCTCCAGGTTTTCAATAATAGTCTAGTATTCATCAAATAATATTCTCAATAGAAATAAAGTTCAAGTGTTAGTGCCTTTTTGACATCCAATGGAATCATTTTGTGCCACTTTGATCTTAACCAATCAAGTCAAATTAATGCGTCATTGACAGCCCATTAACAGATTAGTACACGTAAGAAAGTGTTTGTTCGTGAACAAGTGAGAATACATTTTGCACTACAAATAAACCAATCACTTATTTTAAAGTATTGCCAATCATATCCAATAACATTTTCATCAGCAGAGGTCAGGAATTTCAACCAATGGTGGATAAATATCTGCCTATGTCCTTGATAGCTACAAAGATATTGGATAATAATGGGTTCATCTAGCCAAATGATTGGTTAACAATGAAAAGATGATTTTATGAAATTAGATCTTTGCAATGGTTACTTTGAATCATAGAATCAGAAAAAAACAAATATACATTTGAAAAATCTATATAAACCTGACAAGTTCTAGTAAAATTATTTCACTATTTTGAACGAGAAAATGAGGTGAGTGTTGACTGAACACACGAAGTTATTGTATGTACTATATGAATTTCGGTTTGATTCAACGTGATAACATTGTTTTGTTCATATCAACCATTTTAGATATACTTCTTCATCTGGTCTATTGATACCGGTTTATTTGGTCGTCATCGTGCTTTCCCAATCCTTCGACTGTCAAGATATCTGCAAACACCCTGGATTAGGGATATATGAAAATGTGACTTCGGAAAACGGTTCATACAAATATGTAAGTATACAGTCAGATTCTAATGCACATACACAGTCTCATCATTATTACTACTCACGAAGAATACGTCACGATCAGCCGTATCCAGTTGTTAGTGACAGTTTTAAAAAATTTAGTACCACTCAGGTGAGTTGACTACATTTTGTAATCGAATTACTAATTCTTATGTTTGCATTTTTTAAGAATGTTAAGCCGAAATTTTCGTTTAAGTATTACGGTATTAACGTCACTACATTTGAGATTTTTCAGGATGGTAAGTTAATTGTTTTCTTTCAATTAAAATTGTTATTGAGTTTTGTTCATCACAATTCATTCCATGAATCAAGTTTGCTATAACTTCTTCAATGAATCAGTTTGATGCTTATTCTCACATTCAAAACGTTTCTTTCTTGTTGAACTTATCAAACGTTCAATGTCTTACAGCAAACTAATTACAGTTCATGAAATTCATTTTTGTCTCCAATTCATTTCAAAATATTTCACTCATTCACTATAGAATTTCAATTAGATTGTATGTTTTCAATAAATATAGGCAAAATATACATATTCGGAGAAAAACGAATCGGAACGATATACAATAATGTTCCAGGCTCTACTTTTCCTGAATATGATATGGTAGTTAACAGTGAGTTTTTCTATTATCAAACAATGTTTTCTTTTGTTTGTTCTCACACACTTGTTTTGCATAAATGGTTCATTATTTAGCTTGATTATTGCATGAAAGCTAACCATTTCACAGTGATTATATTGTTTCTGTGATTTGATACCACGACATGTGTTCACAGCACGTATTCATTACTGTCAAGTTAAAATATCAAATAAACACAAGGATTCACTACAGAATATACACAAATCGATTCAGTAGAAATTATAAACCAAATGATGTGGTTGCTGAGTTAAAATGAACTGTTATCCAATCTATTTAAGAAACAATCGGAGAGATGTCTCACCGATGTGATACCTCTGTCTAGATTAAATGAATCAAATTGATCGCATGTGTAACACTAAGCAATGTTGTTCAACAGGTCAGTTTGAGTCATTAACTTTATGAACTGTCAAATTATACTTGACGTCTTCCAACTCTTTTCTGACATTTAGTTGATTCATGAAAGTTAAATATATCTTAGTCGCTATCTGTGAACCATTGGATGTTTAACACTTTTTAGATTATCCTGTTTATAAAATAATGACATTAAAACCCACGCCTTTCCTTACACAATTGATCAACGAATGATGATTGTTCATTTAAATGTACCAGTTTACTTAAATCTCAGAAGGAAGAAGGAAGGTGATAACTCGTCTGCCAATACATTTTTTTGTTAGAATGTATATTTATTAAAAGAGGTAGATATTCATTATGCAGATATACAAATGTCTTTTCGATTTTCATTTCTTTCAGATGATTTTATTGCTGTCAAATGGCATTATACGACGTTTTCTGGAGGTACATATAAGTAAACATTGAATGATCATTTGATATCATATGAAATCTTAACACTTAAAACTACTCTATGTGTTTGCTCAAACCTGCCTGTTCAGTTTGTGTAATTCAATTTTTCCCAATGACTGACAGAAGTAGGAATACATAACGCTTTTGCAAAATGAGGGTGGACTTGTACATGGAATCCATTGATTAATTAATCACAATGATAGAAAATATTGCCCAGAATTGTATACTTCTCGGGTTCCGAAGACTAAACAGATGACATTCATTTTGAATAAATTGTGTTCGTATGTTTTGCATGAAGTCCACTTGATATTATTTATAACGAATTCAACGAAGCAAAACATTTGAGATATTACGGTATATATTTGCTTAAATTGGATATTTTTTGTAAGTAGTCATATACACTGTCAGACCTAACAGTAACAAGCTCATCATCATTCCCTAAGAATTTTAAATATCAATAGTCTTTTGTTTGCAGATCATATAATCAAGATAACTAATGTGATACATTCCAGTGGGAAGATATCCCTCTATTATGAGGACGTAAGTTGTACAATTGAATGGAAATAAAATTTTGTTTCAAGTACTATAGCTTAATTCACTCTTTCTTGCGTATCATTAATGTCAAATGTATCAAGATACATTGAATACGACAGAAAGGGGTCAACTTTTGTAATGTGCAAACGGACTATGTGACACTATTATTATTCATTTAATGACACACACTTTAATGTACCACTTGCTAAAAACAGTGAATAATTAGAAGTGAAGAGTCATCAAAAGAAACGATGTTGTCTCTTCGCGACAGATAAGGACAAACGGTGTACTTTAGAGTACAGCACGGAAACAGTCATATTATGACAGGATTTATTTCATCTTCTGGGGATAAGATGTTCGGAAAGTACATTGCAGAATATTTAGAGGGATTTAGTGTTTAAACTGTTGATTGTTTCACAGTGTCTATATTTTTGAATATCAGTGTTTCATACTTCCACTAATTCTTTTCAGAGCTCCACGAAAAACGGGGAAAGTTCAATAAGCTCTATTATCGAAGGTGTAATTGAGTGTGGAAAAACGTTGAAAGGTAACAACTATTTCTGGTATTTTGATGTAGAGTAACCATGTCGACAGTTTTCTGTTAACGCAATATTACTTTCCATTCGTACACGGTCATCTGCTTTTCAACATAGTAAACTGCCGTTTTCGCTCACAGTGATCATTTATAACTGTATTACAGTCTGCAATGATTGGTTGATTTGAATGTAAGACAAATCGATTGAAATGCATTTAAAGCGTTGAGGATAATCGTGAGGGATAAAGTCGAAATACTTTTCGTAAAATCACTATCCAAAAATTACTGTATACTGGATATGAACCATGATGTGTGAATATCATTACAGTAAAATTATGGATAATTATTGGAGAATGCTTACACATACATTTAACGATGGACTGATCCAGACAGGGATATATGAACGACAATATTTGACAGACCATATATCAACTGATTCATTTACTTGCTCACTCACCCGCTCATTCACTCACAGAACAAACAGTCCCACTTGTAGTCCTCAGTCATATCACTACTCAATGCAAAAAGAAATGTTATTTATCAAACAGAAACAAAAGAGTAATGCTTGTAACTGATAGTTGTTTTATACAATGTTCAATCTTCATGGCATATTGAAGTAATCATGTGTTGTCTTAAGATCAAGCTGAGTTTCAAGATAAGCGTTTAGTGAAAGCGATTTGATGGGATACAATGTTTTGTCATTAAATGTGAGACAATGCAGTAAATATTTGGTCAAACGGTATACACTGATCGGTTGAAATATGTTAGTTAGTCTTTTAACAGTAAATCTCAATGTTGACTATGTGTCATTTGAAATGTCGAAAGAATTGTACCGAGTTGAACATGTTTCTTGAAGATGTTGCACTGAGAATGTTTTAAAATGAATCAGAAATTCAATATGATCATTTTTCATTTATGAGTTAAACACTGGCCACTTTCCATATCAGTAATAATGTTGAGCATGTTTTGTGAAGATTTTGTATGAAAAACACTCTATCTGTAATCAGAAATTTTTAAGTCTTAATTTTACGGGACATGAAATGATGAAACGAATTGTTATTTAATTCATGAGAAATCAAAATTTTAAGTGTTTTCTTTCAAAAAATGTATTTCAGATGTGAGAATTGCTCAAGTAAGAACTCCCGGAGAATGGATGAAAAACGACACGTTAGTGGAGATTGAACCTATCAAGAGTATGTTAAACCTTATTTAATCAACATTGAATATTTCCGCACTTGAATATATCACTTCTATTTCATCATATTATAAATTCCAAGTGTAATTTTATTTAGCCATTTAACGATATCCAGTAGTGTTTCTCTGTTGACGCTTCCCTTGCTATTTATTATTACACGTCGATTTGCTGTTGGATATTTCAAATGATTAAGGACTCAATTTGAACTACTACAGAAGTCTTTACTTTCACCAAATTTACAGATATGAGAGAACCTGAAATAACAAGCCCTGGAGAGTGGATAACAAGTGACACGTTAGTGGAGCTTAAACCTACCGAGAGTATGTTAAAGCTTATTTAATCAGCATCGAGTAGTTTCATTTCTAAAATTTCGGCTTTGCCATGCTTGTTCGATAAATCGAAGGTGTAGACAAGTCATGCGTTCAAATTGCAATTTATCATAGTCGATATATATGTAGAGTAACAAAATAACTGACGATTTACACAATATAACAATGTTTTCTTTCTCATGATTATGTAAAGTGAGTGCCTACAGACACTTTTCAGTTCATTGATTCTGCACTTTACACATGCAGAAACGGTATACAAAATATAGATTGATGATAAAACTGATATCAGTTACACATTTTGTTATTCACGTATCTTTTGTTTGATAACTTGAATTGCCGTCTCCCTAATTTGTTTCACAGTAAGTTGTTCAATATACAATTCCATTGAAAAATGCCAAAATGCGACAACATCAAGTGTGAAATGTATCTGGTATGAAAAAGCTAATATGTGCATTAACAGTGATGATAATGATGTTAAAGTAATTAATTGTTGAGATTCATAGATTGTTTATAACATTGTTATATTCCACATTGTACATCCGATTACTTGGAAGAAAATTTTATGACTACGAATACGTTTTGATTTCATGGTAACAACAAACAATGAACAGAAACGTTGTTTAACACAAATACATGGAGTCATATTAATTTTTGAGCTCACTGAGCTTGTAGTGACTTCAGAAATGCAATATGAAATCGTATGTCAATATGAATTGCCATGAATCACCGATGAAATCGGTTTGAGTAATGAAGCGTATTCCATTGGAAATTGTATATTATGTTTGGATAATTAGTGAAAGTTTGTAGACTGTCGTTATTAAAGTGCAGAATAAAGGAATCAGTGAAATTCACACCGAAGAAAAATTTCAGAAAAATACTGCATCAACTGAACCTTATTCGGTGAATATTTAATATTTAGTATTAATGCTACTGTTTCGTTTCTCTTTCAGAACACCACCTCCGAAATAACTGAACACAATAAACATAATAACACACCTCGTTACTTGTATATCGTGATACCAGTAGTCGTCGTCGTCGCTTTCTGTGTCATCTGCATCGGATTTGTTATTTGGATGTATAAAAGAAAGAAGAGTAATCTATGATTGACTGAAACGTCTTCTAGTTTGTTATTATTATTTTGATCGAATTGTTTTATTCTGTATTTCATTCGAAAACTTTACATTTTATTAACCATTTCAATTATTTAAACAAGTTTTATACAATTTTATGTTTGTTCACGTATCAACTGAAGTAATTCGGTTGATTAAATAACTGAAATCGTTTTCAATTATTTATGTGACTTTTTGTCTTTTTCATTTAATAAAAAGCTGAATTATACTATAAGAGTTTTACAGCGTTTATTTTAGAAATGAGCAGTATTCTATGATCATTTCAATCAATAATGAATCTGTTGTGAATGTTCATTTTGATGGAGTCTCATCATGGGAAAATTGTTATAAACTGATCAGTCAAAATACCATACCAGTTGAGCGTATACTCACTTAGGACTGAAGAACAGTGTGGATTGAATAAAGTAGTAACAGTCCAACCGTAGCATCACTAAGATGACAGATTTGAAAAACAAACACTACGGTGTTTCTGCCAGTTGATGATCACTTCATTATACAATATTTATTTAATAATTATGCTCACTCACACGTAATTACGAGAAATGATATTGCAATTATTCATTTGTATTGTTTGGTTGAGTCCTTCCGTTGATGTTTACGACTGAAATTGATCAGTCGTTTCATAATATATGTTCGCCGTGTGGGAGTTACCTCAATCTAACCATTATGTTGCGTGTAATGTAAACGTGAAGGATGATGGCTAGCAGTGGAATGCAAGTCACGCGTCCCATTGTCATATTTGAGACTCGTCAGCTGGATGTGCCTGCTTCACACAGTTGATGTTCACTCCCATACTTTAACTCAATGCCGTTCACTGCAAACATCGTCGCGTCATCTACTTAGCATCTAAGTTTGGTTACACACTGGTTTTTACAAACAGCAGCATGTATAGGTGAGCACAGATTTCGTGAATGTTTATCGTGTAGCCAAAAGTATTCTCAGAAATCATGCCCTTTCGTGATATCGACTGCTGAATGCGTGACAGAATATCTTCAGCCTCTACCATCCTGCACGTTCGCTTCAACAAACGGGAGTCTAGTGTTAATCTATAGTCACTACATATCCTAGGAGCCTTGCCATTGTACTTCAATGATGTAACAATAGGAGTACCCCATGCTAAAAACTGAATCGGCTCAATTATACTTTTCGCACACAAATCGTTCAATGACTTATGTACTGCATCTCGAAGACCATAAGGAATTATTCGTGTTTTAAGAAAGGCTGGATCACCCTCAATCGCACTTATCACACACAGCTATCAAATATTTAAGTAAAGCATCGGAATTTCCTTTGAAAACTAGTAAAGACATCTCCACTTTAACCTTTTCAAATTTTTTTAAACGCAGTATTCACAGTCATGTATGGCTAAAGTCATATCTTATTAGCAAGTCACGGCAGATCGTGTGGACATTCTATGTAGAGTAATCCCCTATATTGAGACTATAGTGGGTCGCACCGCAACGATAGGATCTAACAATTTCACGTTCTTCAATGAAATAATCTACTCTATAATGCCTGTGTCCATAACCAAGACATGAAACGAACCATGGGGTAACATATAAACGCTTTCAATATGAGCATTATCGTTCAAATTGGTAGATAAAGATAAAGCATCATTGGTAACAACCGAATTAATGGGACCAAAATTACAAGGTTTAGTTCTGTTTTTGATGATGACCATAGCAGATATTTCAGGCAATGCTCACGTTTTGATGGTCGGATATGCACTCGTACATGGTGCACTGTGAAAAATTGTGAAAGATATCATAGGTTGAAAAGCCATCTTTCAAAATTGACTCGTTAGCCAGTATGATCTGATGTCTGAGAATGAATTCATCCAGATTATTGTGGTCCATTTCTCGGCAAACAATACACACTTGTGATCATTGGTTCTCTGTGGTGCATGAAGCTTTCTCGCAATTGATGATTTATTCTGTATGCTAATATTCTTCGCCTAATTTGAAATCCAAAAACATTACATCTAGATTTGCTGAATATGCCCTTCTTGATTTAGTTTTGGACTATATGTAACCACAAAAGTGTTACTAGTCAATATTCCGAAATCCGTTAATTGTGTTCATCACACACAAGTATTCACTGCGTATTAGCTCAGAATATTGAAGAACTGAGTGATATCAACCTATCAGTGGCTGATATACTTGTTTATGGAATAATGCACAGTTCTTATCAATCATTAGTGTTCTCTAATTGTCAAATACACTTCTGATTCTGTTGATCTGTGATGAAGTTTATCTTATATTATCCAACCAGTTATCAAAATTATATTAAGATCATTTTCGCTTTTAATTTAAGGCGTGAACAACAATGATTGTAATTAATAAATGTGAGTTTAAGGAATAGGCATGAGGCGGCCCGTGATCTGACTCCATTCAGAGTGTATGAATGTTTGCTATCACCTATTCTCGTATATCATCGTCGACTTAAATCACGTTGGTCAATAACGGAATTTAGATGAGTCAATTAACGAGAATGGCCTTTGAATACATATATTTTGTATGTAAAGTGAATGCAATAGAACAGAGCAAAACGGCGCGCAGGGAAGATGGCTGGGAAGCCAACTCCATTTCAATATTTATAGGCAGACAAAATAAACTACAGACATGTGATGAGTCATGGGACCTGAAGTGTACACACATATACGCTCATATAAAAACAGTCAAGACTGACAAGCAAATAATTAACAAGGTCAAAATATGGCTCAAGTAAAATGAATAAAATTGGGATGTCCATAAGTTAGAATAAGGTAGATGGGCTTGCCATAATAACTGACACTACATAGCCCCCTCGTAGAAAATAGCACATTTAAAAAATGTCTGTTTTCGAAAATAACACTGAAGTGTATGAAGTTAATGGTAGCAACAAGTAGCGAAAAAAGATTGTACAACACTCGATAAAGTACAGTGTCACATGAGGGGTGAGTGTATTATATGAAAATGTCATACTTACGTAAAAAAATACATGAATATAGCAAAGGCGCGGACAAAAATGGAAACGTTAACATGCGAATATGAGCAAATTAATGGGCGTACAAAAAATTAACATCTAATAATGCTATGACTGTCTGAACAATAATATAACACGTTCAAAATATCGTGAAAATAGTGATAAATTGTTTGTGGGTATGACAGCGAAATAAATCGTAAAAATAAGTAAAGTAGAATACGACAGAAATTGGTCTGTGATGCCGATAGAATAGTGGAATATGTTAAATACATGTTCTGTTGAGCCGCAGTAGAATAGGTAGCATCGATTAGCGATGAGTGAATTTGAATTTAAATGCGTATTTCCCGTTCGTAGGATGATAATAGGCAAGTCATGAAATGATATCTGCATCGACGGGTGATATTCGTTTCTGTAATGCAATTGATAACAGAATAGTGACTGAGTAGACGAGGTACGTAGAGTTGTACACCTTTTTGGTCATGAAGCCTAGAGTGGTTTGTGTGGTTTGAGGGAGATGCGCTCGATCTCGTTTGTTACAAAACCGTACCAAGGCATGACAAAAATACCAATACATATGATTAGCGATGGCGACGTATGAGACTGACTTGGATTTGACGAACAAGAGTGTATCTTTGAGAGACTAGCTCTAAACTCTATGTTCTGATATACAGTGCGATGGATAAAGAATAGTAGTTGCAGTACTCGAATAATGTTTTTGGGTAATTAATGATGCGGCATGTGGTTATACACGTGAAAGAATTGATAAGATGAACATAATGGTTACTAATCAGCTAGTTAGTGGCATCCACAGACATAATAGGCGATTTTGAAATGAAAAATGTATGTTATGATAACATAAATAGCTGACCTCGACTAAGTGAATGTATGCAATATTAGATCAAATGACATGAAAAAAATTGGAACGAACTCACTTAAAGCAGGAAAATTTCACATTTGGATAGTAAAAATATTCCAGTGAGTTTTTGAATGTCATAAATTGGAGTGTTCATAAAATGATAATCTGTTCTGTGAATAATATGATTACGAAAATGTCATAATTTAATGACAGCACGAACATAATTAATAATTCCACATTCGGTCATGATATTGAGAATCATGTAATAATAAGCATATAATGATAATTCGAATAGTAATGGAGCAAACCGACGAATGGATCAATGAGAATAGTTGACATGAGGACAAAGTATCGATAAGATAATACGACTTGAGCATGTTCATGTCATGTTGCACAGGCTTTGCTGAGTGCGTCGGATTGGAGATTGTGCTTGCTTCGCTGAATTTGTTCGTCGTTCGCGGGTTTACCACTTTTGGGAGGCCTCGTGGTTTTGTTGCCATTTAAATCGGGCGATGTTCGTCCAAAGGCG